TATGTATGTATTTACAAAAAAAATATCTATGTATATGTATCAGTTGTCTAGTACCCATAACACAAGCTTTAGCTAGCTTAACTTGGGTCTAGATGACGCTGTGTGAATTGTCCTGAGGTTATTATTATTAACTCTTATTGCAACCATTTTTAGTCACAACTTCATGTATCATGCTCTTGCACATCGTTTCAGATTAGTTCTTAATGACCTTGATGATGATATTTAAATGTATAGCAATACAAACAAAGCTCGAGATTTATAATATATCTTTGAAATAATATGTCACTGCTCGGCTTTTATAAGGACTAGCGAGATTATATGTACCCTAGATTCATCTTTGACCCTTAAACAATACTTCACTGAAAATTACATAAATTAGATTTTACGTTATATACAAACATGAGTGAGAAAGAAACAGATTTTATATACTAGCAAACCACTGACTTTGGTCGGGTAGCAGAATTCTATAATAAATACCAGAACCTTCGTCAGGAATAACTCTATTGATAAGCGAGGATCGCATAAAATTCCGTTCACTAGTTTTTAAGATTAACACGAACATACACACAGATATGGTCCGAGACTATTTCAATATGTATAGATAAATATGTTATGCTTTGAATGATATGTGCTCTCCTTTCAAATGATGTATCCGATTACAATATCATTTTCAGATGTAAACAAATTTCGACTTTAAATTATTACGTTGGATAATACTTAACCATTTCGTTCCGAACGGAATGTAGTCAAAACATACGACATGGTCTGATTCGTGCATCATAATAAACGTATTGTTATGGTAATAGCCTTCGAGGAGGCACATGAACAATAGGAAATGGTGTTTATTTGTGTTCAGCTGAAATATTCAAATAAATCTTGATATTTCTTGTAATCGACTTCAAAAATGTTTCCAATGTTGAATTGTTCAAACCAACTGCTAGATAAGTTTGAATGCATTATATTTAACTAACTGGCCCATGTAATCATTGACACTCATTGAAGCTCTGTTCCTATTAGTTGTAGCGTGATGTTGTATCGCCTTTCTTTATTAATGAGATATTTTCTGCATAATACTGGAGATTACTCTGAATTGACAAACACAAATGTGTGTACGAGTATTGTGCTGAGAAAAAAATGAACCTGCGAACATTGGAAGAATGGACAATGTTTTAAAAAAAGTACAAAATCATATTCGTCAAATAATAGGAATGTACGTTTGTATTTACGTTGTCACAACACTTAGTTTAATGGTATAAACATGATCCTTAATGACATGATGTCTGTAATGCTAAATGCGATAAAGTTCTAAAATATTTCTTATACATTATTACACTATAGACTGCATGAAAATGTAGGTATACAGGATTTTGTAGTAATTGCGAAGAAATGCATTTATTGGTTTAAAGGGGAAAATATAATATAGATAAACATATATAAAAAACATTTCACAGGTTAAAATATTTTTTTTAATTTCATGATACTTTTGGACGGACTAAAAGTACATCCCAGACTCATTGTACCAGTGATAAATTTCCTTTGGCAGCACTATCTGAAGGATCGACTAAAATACTTAGAATGACACCTACATCGAATATATTTATTTTATGTTCTGACATTATTCTATGACACATTCTATCAGCAAATTATATATATCCTCTATTGTACTGCATACTAATTACTTCTATGTACAGCGAAGTGTGATTTGATACTTTTAACGACAAAGCAGATCCGAATTGGCGTGAAGATTTTTTCACGCCAATTCGGATCCGATTCACGAGAACGAACAGAGATCATAACTTATTTCATAAAAAGCAGATCGTTAATATTGTGATAGTTAATATTGTCTGAATTTAGTTGTAAAGTACATACAGTTATATCAAAGTTGTAGCAAATAGCGTTGAACACGTAACAAATATGTATAATAAATCAAGTTTATATTGGCATTTTTACAACAACATTAAGTCATTAGATGACTTTATAAATTCAAGTAATCCAATCATCAAGCTCCAACGTAACCATCATTAAACACACATTAAGTTAACAGTTTTAGTATTCTATACAGAAATTAATACGCAACTCATGTTACCATATCATACAGGTCTCGGTAAAACGGCAGTACTTAGTACATTTATGAGAATACTATCTGTGCCCGCGGTTTCACCCGCGTGAAATTTATATATATATATGTAATTCTGATGTATAAGCTATATTACTGTAAACTTCATTAAAATCCGTTCAGTAGTTTTTGCGTAAAAGAATAACATCCATAACCATCCATAATCAAAAATGTTTTTATTAAGATATATGAACTGAACGGAATGATGATATAATCCCTATACGGACCAATATAGGGAATATTAATATAGGGTTCCGGTACGATCTGCCAATATTTTTATATGGATATTTTCTATCATACCTTGTCCTGACAACTACGAACACAATAAAAAACTAACAAAATAGCTGCAGTAGTTGTGAACCGATACAAGTTCATACATTTAATTAGTTTAATTTATTACCTTTTTCTCCCGATATGAATCATATTTGAACAAATATAAATTGAACTAGACCATTTTCAATACTATATGAAAGGACATTAAGTATGTTAGTCACAATGACAGGATAGTATGTATTAGGCGACTACTTATGTTCTAATTAAAAAATAAATATGTATTAAAACAGAATAATATTAATGATGATAAATTTACATACATATATTGAAGAATTAAATAATAAAAAGACAACAAATCTATTATAAAACTTATACTAGTACTGCTTGTACCTCGGTGTATATTTCAATCACTATTACAGACAAGAAACAACTAAACATGAAGAAATCGCAAAATACCTGTTTATAAAACAAATAAAATTAAAAAAAAAAACAATTACAAACACCAATACTTCATCCGTGTGAACCTGTTTATATCCGTATCCCATATCCGTTATACAGTAAGTAATTACATTTATAATTTATAATTACAAATAATAACAGAAGCGCGTTAATATTAGTTCCCGTAACAGTAAAAACGATAACACTATGTGGACAATAATACATAATTTAACAGCGACCTGTTACCGAACTTTAATACTAACTCATTACAGATTACTTTCACAAGATCGCCTTAGGAACCACACTATAGGTAGTACTCTAGAAATTAGATCATATCTTCCGCACAACTAGGAAATTGTTACCTCAGTCTCACTCTTGCATGCTGTAAATTATATGAGCCTATCTTATTCCCTCTCTATTTGTTACATCGACAGGTGTTGCATAAAATCATTGATCCTTTCTCTAAAAATTTCAAACTACAGCTTTAGTTCAAGTACCTGATTAGACGGAGAAGATTTCATACTATATTTGACTAGCTGCCCGCTCAGAATTCATATGGGTATTTCGATATATTTAAACAAAATCCTTAAACGAAAGATACACATAAATCTACCGCAAAAATCACTTTCCGTCTTATTTATATACAGATAAATATTATATTTATATTGGTAACCTAGAAATTTAAAATAAACATCATCAATTACACGAGTTATTTCAACATTTGTGAAATATGAAAACAACGTATGAATGTAACCAACCCACAAATTCACGTGTTAGATTAAGTACCAGAGATTCAAAAACATGACAATAAGAGCAATAATATAGTGTAACTTCCCCATTCATCAAAATTTGTTTTGGATACAAATGGTTCGTTATATATTTCAAATAAGTACAACTCTATTATTAAACAGCTGACTGATATTGTTGTTTAAAATATTTGCTTAATACTAGTGGGTTTTTCAACATATTCAACCTTTCCAAAACTATGTATCGAAATATGTGGGAGAAACCAATTGACGAGTTACGCAAAATAGCAATGATGAAAATTATTAGTATGTATCTTGTTGCAGTTTTATTTTATATGTATATAGGTAAAACGAAAACTAAAGACAAAGACTTGGAATTCGTATTATATTGGAAAACGAATGGCAAGATTTTGAAGTACATAGGTATATACAAAAATGTAGAATCAAAGAACTATAAATTTAAAACAAATTGAGAATAAAAAATACATTTCTGATTAGCCAGACACAACATACCTGAATGAACTACATTTATTTACCTTTTTTAATATTGGGACGTAAGAAATATTCCTGTCATTATATAATATGTTTGGTAATGACAATGCCCATGGCGCTGATCTGTATATAAGTGCCGTTCAACTGGTTACTCATTGCAATGTCATAAAAAATAAATCACAAGATTCCTCGTTTCCTTGTGATTTTATTTCAGTATGTTTAACAGCATTTTACCTGAAAGAAGAAAATATACAATTATGTAAATCGTTTTTTTTAACTGAGAAATCTTTTCATATTGGTAGGAACTGCCAACAATTAATAGACAGGACATAACATCTAAAATTTCTCATCATTTAATTCATAGTTTATAGTCTGTATGTAACAAGCACTCCAGAGTAAGAACTGGCTATATTACGGACAGAGGGTTATATCATGTTAAATAATGTTGGTGGATAGACAAGAATATTTCAAATAATATAATCAAGTAGTTGCAGTATTTTAACTAATAATTTAAGTCGTAAAGGACCAGCCATTCCTTTAGTTCCTACGTTAAGAAAAAAGGCAAAAACTCGAGTGTAATTATATCATTAAATTATGAATCTTTTGAATTACTATGAGAAACTTTAATACTGTAATAAAATTATTTGTCGGAGCTAAACTATTGATCAAATTCAATGTCAAACTTATGCATGTATTTTCTCAATTCCAGATTCGAGAAACACGAAACCACTTCAAGACCAGCGTGTGCCATGTTGCTTAACATGTCGCCACTGCGGCAACTACCACCGAACACAAATAAACCAACACGAAGAAGCAAACCGCCAGACAAATACAAAAATATAATCGGATAATCATATATATCCTAGTCTTTAATGTAAAAAAACCAAAGTTAATTTTACTCTGTGATACAGGCGATATATTGCACTTGAAAAGGTTACCGTTTATGATATATTCGAAATTGAAAAATGGGTGTCCATGTACTTCTAGCTTCAACAGCGCTGAAAACAATCAGTGTGACTGGGCTGTGGATAATACCGCTACTGCTGGGAGCGCTTACCTATCACAATTACAATTCTTATGATCCAGAAGCGAAAGTTCTAGATAAAGAACCTCGAATGGAATATGATTTTATAATTGTCGGTGGAGGATCAGCTGGTGCTGTTCTAGCGAATCGGCTCACTGAAGTCATGAATTGGAATGTTCTGCTATTAGAAAGCGGTGAGTACTATTTTTTCTAATATATGACTGATGATATGGGAATACTGAATCCGCCTGCGCTAACGGCATACGCTGAAGGGGCGCCAACAAAGGATGGCAAGGATAGCAAGAGCATAAACTCGAATCAACCCGCCTATCATGGCGTTCGACTTGTTAGACATTACTAGCAATGAAAGCACTAGTCCCCATTATTACCTCTCCACACCGGTGGTAACATTAAGCTTAAAATATACTTATACTTATGTATGAAATCTGATAAAACACATTTGAATAATCAGTGTTTTTTTATAATGTAATTGTAATGGCATGTTCAGACATATTGATGGACGGTGCAGTATGGAAATTATGTTACGTAACGCCCGCGGTATACCACTCTTACTTGCATTCCTGAGGACTAGAGGAGTTGTCATGTCTTGGCCGAAATAAGTGAAACTAAGTTACCCACATAGACCACTCTTTACAAAATTTTACCTCGATTTATTATACATACATATGTATAAAATTCGAGGGTAAACTTTGTAAAACTGTGCTGTACTTAGTTAAACGAAGTATTATGAGTCGTTTACCTTCTATTCAGTTCTTATTATAGATATAACATTTAACTCAACATCTAATTATACACTTGTTGAAATTACAGGTCCGGACGAGAACGAAATCACAGACGTCCCTTCATTAGCCGGCTATCTCCAGCTAACGAAGTTGGACTGGCAATACAAGACAGAGCCCACGTCTTACGCATGCCTGGGTTTCAAGAAACGCAGGTGTAGCTGGCCACGAGGCAAGGTAAAAAACAAATTACCTACTTATTTACAAGCAGACAAAGACATCATTACAAATCATTATACTATTTGTGAGAGGATAATGAAGCAAAAATTTCATTAAATCTGATCTAATGAGATATAATAAACTTTTCATTATCCTCTCATAAATAGGGTTACCTATTATTGCCTATAAAAATATGGTTGAAAAATACCATCAACTTTTCTGTGTACATTTTGTACTCTTAATTTATTTTATTTTATAGAATAGATTTAAATTTATTTCAAAACTACATAACCAAACTCAATAAAAAGTTCTATACCAAATTGGAAGGAACTGAAAAATAAAATAATAATTTGCAGTCCATTATGTACATTGATGTAAATTCAAATTCAAAAATCATTTATTCATGTAGGACATTTTAGCCGCTTAAGAACGTCAAATTTTTACATTCAAATTTTTTTTTTCCCTACCGTCCAGTTCAAGGTGTAGGAAGTGTAGTTTAGAATTCTCATACTATTTTCGACCATAGAGAAAAATCTTGATCACCTCAGAAATTCTATTAATTTATATTTAATAGAATTTCTGAGGATAATTAAATAGAATTTTTTTTCCGTTAGTTGGAAATTTTAATTTTCAGGATTCATTCAATTCCGGGAGATTATGTTGTTGGGAGAAGTGAAAACCCTACTCACGACTCGTGATATAGTGGTTTATTGCCCCATTCATATGTTATGAATTTCTCCAATGATAATAAACATCGTTGTATAACTACATTAATCAGAGATGCCATTAGGCTAGCCCTCTGTTCTAATAAACTATTGTATTAAGTGCTTTAAATCTTTTTGTATTGACAGTAATGTGCCTACAACAGAGTACTGCAAAGTTTACATACTAATTAAAAGTGACTAGATACTACTAGTTTCCAAAGTATATTGGTTCTATTTTGTTGTTACTTTAAGTTATAGAGTCTAAAGGCAGAATATCTAAAGATTTCTGCATACAATGAAATTTTTTTGCAAAAGTCGCATGTATAAACGTCAAGAGCACCACATGTAAATCCAGTGGCACGTGAGATACCACAGGCTTTGCTATTTCAGAACACTAGTGCTTCCTTTATCTCACTGCCATATTTAAAACTAAAACACAATTTGCAAAGCGAGATGTATATTGGCGATAGAAATAGGAAAGACAGTGATATCCGCGGAGTTGACAAAGTCTAGCTCGGTGACATTAATTGGCATTTGTGGTATTACTAATTAGCTATACTAAGCCAATCTTATTAATTTCATTTTAAGTCATTGCTTTATCGACTTGGGAGGTGATAGACGAGTGAGGATTTTGTTATTCCCTTGGCAGTTCTTCAACCTATGCAGTATAACAGCTGATTTATTTAACATGAACATATTTGTATTTTACAGGTCCTTGGTGGTTCCAGTGTCTTAAACTATATGATTTATGTTCGAGGAAACAAATACGATTTTGACCAGTGGGAGTCCTTTGGTAATCCAGGCTGGGGTTACCGTGATGTGCTAAAATATTTCATTAAATCTGAAGATAACAGAAACCCATATTTGGCTAAAAGTAAATATCATGGAAGAGGAGGATTCTTGACAGTGCAAGAGGCACCTTGGCGGACCCCTCTAGTAGCTGCTTTCGTTGAAGCCGGTGTCGAAATAGGATATGAAAATAGAGACATAAACGGAGGTATTCAAACAGGATTTATGATAGCTCAAGGTACTATAAGACGTGGGTCGAGATGCAGCACAGCTAAAGCTTTTCTAAGGCCAATCCGTACGCGAAGAAACCTCGATGTGTCACTAAATTCCCAAGCAACAAGAATCTTAATAAATCCAGTAACAATGAAGGCTTATGGTGTAGAATACATAAAAAGAGGAAAGAGAAGAGTTGCCTACGCTAGAAAGGAGGTAATTTTGTCTGCAGGGGCTATTAACAGTCCACAGTTATTAATGTTGTCAGGAATAGGACCTAAAAACCATTTGAGAGATGTTGGTATACGGGTCCTCAAAGATTTGCCTGTTGGTGAAAATCTCCAAGATCATGTCGGTGTTGGTGGGTTAACTTTTCTAGTCGATAAACCTGTGGCCATTGTTCAGAATCGCTTCCAAGCGTTCCCTGTGACTATGAATTATGTCATAAATGAACGAGGGCCAATGACTGTACTTGGAGGATTAGAGGGAGTAGCTTTTGTAAATACTAAATATGCTAACAGCAGTGGTTTGTGGCCTGATGTACAATTCCATATGGCACCCGCATCGTTTTCTTCCGACAATGGGCAGATCGTTAGAAAGATTCTTGGTCTTACTGATGAAGTTTACGATACGGTATACAAGCCAATCGCGAATAAAGATGCGTGGACTATAATGCCACTTTTACTACGTCCAAACACTCGAGGTTATGTTAGACTGAAAAGTTCAAACCCTTTCCATTATCCGATCATGAATCCACGTTACCATGAAAATGCTTTAGATGTAGCTAGATTAGTGGAAGGAATAAAGATAGCTTTAAAGGTAGCCAATGCTTCTCCATTTAAGCAATTCGGTTCCAGATTATACATGAAGCCCTTGCCGAACTGTAAACATTTTAAGTTCATGTCTGATGAATATATAGAATGTCAAGTGAGAACTATATCAATGACCATATATCATCAATGTGGAACGGCAAAGATGGGACCTGATTGGGATAAAGAGGCAGTGGTGGATCCTAGGCTAAAGGTACATGGCGTCGAAGGCTTAAGAGTGATCGATGCAAGTATTATGCCTACTATAGTTAGTGGAAATACAAATGCAGCTGTAATAATGATCGGTGAGAAAGGAGCCGATTTAATCAAAGAGGACTGGTTGAATGAGAAGCATAGGTGACAAAAGACATTTATTGTAAGATAATTAAATGTTACCAGTAACGTTAATATTTTAAGTTCTCCTATTTTGCCAAATATGTAATGTATGTAAATACTGCTTGTATACATAGTTATTCCACTGTTTCATAATTTATTGCTGTATATTGCTATGACGTAGCCTATGAATATATCTGCTTTATAGATAATTCTATATATAAGTATAGTTAAAACATTAACTAAAGAGTTTTGTGAAAGGACATCATTAATTTATTTTACTTTAGAAATCAGATTATTAGCGGATCAATGCAACTTCAATTGACAATTTGTAATATAAATAGCTTCTTCAGGTATATAAAATACCTTCAAATAACGATTTTTTTAATAACGACAGTGATTAAAGCGTATTAAGGACAGCTATTACTGAATTATTAATTGTGAAGGACCACTATTCTTTTTAATTAATTTAATTAAAAATTGACATAATTGATATGTTTTTAGTCTTCATCGTAAATGGTGCATGCATCATACATGTTGTATTATTTTTTTTATTGGACTCTGCAACTATAGAACGCCTGTGAATTTCTTAGAGCATACGTGCATTAAGATAAATCGTTGCTTACTTGACAATACAATACGTACAATACTTGACAATAGGAAATACCTTGAGATATCGTAATTGTTTCCAGTTTCTCTGGAAAATAATTATCAGTACTTATTTTGTCATACCTCAAATATAAATGTAGGAAAACTCCTCTTCTACTACCTTCATTTTTGATTACTATTAATACATTCAGTGTAAGAATTATATCTAAATAGGTTTAGCGACATACTGAAGCAGATTTGTAAACGCCATAAGTCAGTCGTTTGTACGAGATTGAAATTCAAGCAGAATACAATAAATTCTCTAAGTTTAATGAAGATATTGTGTTAATAATATAAATTATTGGATGAGAAAGATTCTTAAAGAATTATGCACTAAATTTTGAGTATGAGGTTATAATGATAAAATAAACGAATTTATCGACAATTAAATTGGAGATATTCATCAAGAGTTCCCAAAACGTTCGCAATTTGAGAGACACAGCGTCATCCATAAATTACGTTACACCTTAACGAGCAATATGTATGAAATTTCATTACGTTTACATTTCATCAATGTTAAATTAATTTAAATGTAAATAAAACTATATCGAAATTGGTTAAGATAAGTTGTAGATGTAAAACTGTAAAATAACGTCATACCAGGCAGAGGCAGTCTCGCAAATGTAACCAGCAGGGACAAGGTCCTCTCCCTCCCCCACCCCCGGGGAATCACTAAATTCATGTAATATATGGATAGACACAATTATGTATATATACGATTAAGAAACAAAGAATGTATAGATATATACCTTATTATTTTAAAATGTATATATGTATGTAAGATTATCGTTAATTACTACTTAACTAGTACCTTGGCTATTGTCATAGTGCCATATTATACTTTAGTGTTTTGTTTTATTTATGTTTGGCTATACTTTATTACTATTACATTATGTTGACTTTCACGAAACACTTATTTTTGTTTTAAGACAAATATATATACTTATGCTTGTTAAATTTAAACTCACTTTGTATGATTTACTCAAATTTTGATATTCATTGAATGGTTTATGTAAACTCGTCAATAACTAAATGTGGTTATTAAAATATTTTGAAGAATACTGCATTAACATATAATATAATATAAATTTTATATTTATGGAAACCAATTTAATTTTAACTCTAAATCTAGTTCCAAGTATTTAAAACAGTATCATATTTAATGTGAGATGTTTTGTAAACATTTATACACAATTTTAATAGGTACTCTCTGTAGTGTTCTTAATGTAATGAATGCCATTCAATAATAAATTGTACTTTGTCAATATAAGTAAATACTGTTTTAATCTTTATTCGGGATTGTAACATAAAGACAGAATATTTACCATAATATTATTTATGAGCTCCCGATATTTCAACACTACAAAAACATACTGTAGATCAACTCTAGACTCCAATTTCAATTCTATCCAGTTTTGTAAAGTGTTTTTTTAGAAAGAAGAATATAATTCGATAATATTATTAAGATTTTCATTCATTGAACTTTTTTATTCACGGTATATGGAATTAATATGTTGTTATTAAAATAAAATAAAAAAGCTGCGAAATGGCGTAATAAAATATTATTATAATTTGACATTTAACAATTGCTACATTTAAGTTAATACAGTTATTAATGATTTAATATATTACGAATGTGGTACAGCTGAAATACTAAGTCATAATTTGTAAATCGCGGCAAATTTTAAGAGTGAAACGAAACATTAATGAAACTGTCACCGCATCGCACCATGCTACAGCGCACATGGTATAGAATGGATTGATTTTCTACAGTAGACCGACAGAGTACTGACTGTAGATGTCGACTGGAGATGGCGGCGGATATAACATCAAGAGCTCATAAGTAATGTTATCACGGTAAATTTCCTCTGTATATATTGTGAACAAACACAAGTAAATAGAATATGATAGAACCTTATTATACCAAAAATATTTACATTACCATTATGTGTCGATTGAAATGAAATTGATGAACTATTTTTATTAATATTAAATACAATTCTTTATAAAGAATGCAATATTATTTAGCGCTGTAATGTGGGATTTGTTTCCAGATGTCCGTTGCCTAGTTTCTCATACCAATGAGTCCTAGCTTGAGAAGTAGGCATTTGATGAGGTTTTATAGAACTTACACTTTTATAAATAAATAAAGTTATATAAGTATTTGCTGTTTTTAATATAAAAAATCCTAAGAATTATTAAGTTAGAAGGCAGTCGTAGTTAATATATGCTAGATGTAATTAATCATTAGTATAATATCATATTGAAAACATTAACCCTTGCACTCATTCTATCTGTCTATACGTATATTTAATATACCACCTACAAATTAATCGTAACATAGAATAAATAGCATCAAGCATTAAAACAAACACAAATATAGTGGTGGACACCACTATATTTGTGTTTGTTTTAATGCTAGTGGTACTTCTTAGATCTAGAGCTTCATGCTTTCAAATCTTCTATAAAGTCTGAATACAACTTGCAAAATAAGTTGCTTGATGACATATATATATTTTACAGAAGTCGGCATAAATATACATTACAGATCAATTTGCACTAAGTATCCCTATGTCGTACATCGCTTTTTTACTTAAAGAATATGGATATCTCTTAGGCATTAAAAACTCCATGGTTTTAAAGAGATAGTTAAAAACGACAGATAACGGGATCGACAAATTTTTTGTGTGTTGAAGGGTGAGACATGGCAGTAAAATTACAGGGTGTGAAGGCGTAATACCTAAGAACTACGGAATGACAATGCATGAGGTGTAACAACGAGCACCATATGATGCCCATCACACTCTAGACGACAGGTACCGCTTACCATGAAGTAGACTGTTAAATGTTTGCCATTAATTTAAAACTAATATAAGATACAATAGCAACTGCCTTTCATATTCAAGCTCCCTTATAGAATAGACAGAGAGACCCAAGGGCTTGTTGTGTCTATCCTTATATACTGTTGGTGTAAACCAGTGCTTGCATAACTCGAGGTACGTTATGCATACAGACCGGTTCTGGATACACTTGTTTCCTCCGCAGGCAGTACATTATACACATGCTCTTGGCCTCAAATCATAGTGACATACTGCACCCGTATTTATATTACCCATATATAATATATTGCCATCAGGCATTGTATATATGGCGGACTCCGCCATATATACAATTTTGCGTGCAAAAGAATATAAATATTATATATATATAACCCAGAAATTGTTTATCTAATACAAAACATTGCTATTTATATATTATAAAAAATACAAATGTTACAATACTTTATATTTGGAAATTTCATCGGTCTAGAAATAGAATATTTCTTATACAAATTTTTAATACGTAACAAATCTTTCCTACTTCGTTAAAGTAATAAATCTATAGACATTTAGAACTATATTTTTTTAATTTTCACTATTATAAGAGTACGATTTTCTTTTTTCTTCTTCTTTTCTTTTCTTCTTTCCTTTTTCTATTCTTTTGTTTTTCTCCCTCATATTAGCTTCATTACGCATTCTATTAGAACTTTTGGTCAATTTACATCTGGCCGTTATTAATAGAAGACATAAACATATAGAATTTTATATTAGACTAGAGGGTGCGTGTGTGCGCGGGCCTCAAGAGGCCCGCGAGGCGTTGTCGTTGATTTTTTTTGTGAAGACGGTTTTCTTTTCGAATAGTCTTGGTTGGCAAGTAGAGTTGTCTGTTTTGATACGATTAGGTGACTTCCTATTGTAACAGTGAACCTGTGGCGAAACTTTGTATTGTAATGGTCACAATACAAAACCTAACCTAACCTACCTTTTATACTATATTAGTCTGGGGTCAAAGTTTTTAATGTAGAGACCTAACCTAACCTACCTTTTTGTTTACTATATTATTCTGAGGCCATAATTTCTACTGTAAGAGTCGCAATACAAAACCTAACTTAACCTACCTTTCTGTATACCATTTCGACCTGTGGCTTTAATTTTTATTGCATTGGCCACATTACAAAACCTCACATTACCTACCTTTCTGTATACTACATCAATTTCGGTTCACAGTTTCTGATGCAGAGATCATAATACGAAACCTAACCTAACCCACGTTTCTGTGTACCTTATTGGTCTGTGACCACAATTTCCATATTCTCCTGTCTATAGACCTAACCTCATCTTACTTTTCAGTATACTAATAGTCTGAAGCAATAATTACTACTGAGTAGCAATACAAAATCTAACCTAACCTACCTCTCTGTATACCTATATATCTTTGACCATAATTTCTATTGTAAAGGAAATAAAGAAAAACAAAACCGTCTAGGTTGCGTGTGGGTCGTTTTAGCTGATTTTTTTATGGTGAAGGTTTTCTTTTCGATCTTGGTTGGCAGAAACATGTTTTGATACGAAACTATACCACAAATGTCAATTCCTATTGTAAGAGTGAAAAAAAAACC